ACTACCACTACTACTACTACCACCACCACCACCACCACCACCACCACCACCACCACCACCACCACCACCACCACCACCACCACCACCACCACCACCACCACCTCCTGCCTATATATACCCATCCTTCTCTCCTTTTCGTTAGTGTGACTTTGTAAATGGTCCAAGTCGGACTGATACGTCGTCGTAAGCTCCTCTCCTCTATGTGCAGGTTATTTGTATTGTTCCAGTCATGGTATTGTGCCTTTTTGTTATTTATTCAAAGGTAATGAATCATAAACACGTTAGTACATGGTTACAATCATGAATAAATTACAGAGTAATGATCAGTTAACAAACATTGTAGAGAACTTATTTTTTTTTTATTATCACACCGGCCGATTCCCACCAAGGCAGGGTGGCCCGAAAAAGAAAAACTTTCACCATCATTCACTCCATCACTGTCTTGCCAGAAGGGTGCTTTACACTACAGTTTTTAAACTGCAACATTAACACCCCTCCTTCAGAGTGCAGGCACTGTACTTCCCATCTCCAGGACTCAAGTCCGGCCTGCCGGTTTCCCTGAATCCCTTCATAAATGTTACTTTGCTCACACTCCAACAGAAACGTCAAGTATTAAAAACCATTTGTCTCCATTCACTCCTATCAAACACCCTCACGCATGCCTGCTGGAAGTCCAAGCCCCTCGCACACAAAACCTCCTTTACCCCCTCCCTCCAACCCTTCCTAGGCCGACCCCTACCCCCGCCTTCCTTCCACTACAGACTGATACACTCTTGAAGTCATTCTGTTTCGCTCCATTCTCTCTACATGTCCGAACCACCTCAACAACCCTTCCTCAGCCCTCTGGACAACAGTTTTGGTAATCCCGCACCTCCTCCTAACTTCCAAAACTACGAATTCTCTGCATTATATTCACACCACACATTGCCCTCAGACATGACATCTCCACTGCCTCCAGCCTTCTCCTCGCTGCAACATTCATCACCCACGCTTCACACCCATAAAGAGCGTTGGTAAAACTATACTCTCATACATTCCCCTCTTTGCCTCCAAGGACAAAGTTCTTTGTCTCCCACAGACTCCTAAGTGCACCACTCACTCTTTTTCCCTCATCAATTCTATGATTCACCTCATCTTTCATAGACCCATCCGCTGACACGTCCACTCCCAAATAAACTGAATACGTTCACCTCCTCCATACTCCTCTCCCTCCAATCTGATATTCAATCTTTCATCACCTAATCTTTTTGTTTTTCCTCATAACCTTACTCTTTCCTGTATTCACCTTTAATTTTCTTCTTTTGCACACCCTACCAAATTCATCCACCAATCCTGCAACTTCTCTCCAGAATCTCCCAAGAGCACAGTGTCATCAGCAAAGAGCAGCTGTGACAACTCCCACTTTCTGTGTGATTCTTTATCTTTAACTCCACGCCTCTTGCCAAGACCCTCGCATTTACTTCTCTTACAACCCCATCTATAAATATATTAAACAACCACGGTGACATCACACATCCTTGTCTAAGGCCTACTTTTACTGGAAAAAATTCCCCTCTTTCCTACATACTCTAACTTGAGCCTCACTATCCTCGTAAAAACTCTTCACTGCTTTCAGTAACCTACCTCCTACACCATACACTTGCAACATCTGCCACATTGCCCCCCTATCCCCCTGTCATACGCCTTTTTCCAAATCCATAAATGCCACAAAGACCTCTTTAGCCTTATCTAAATACTGTTTCACTTATATGTTTCACTGTAAACACCTGGTCCACACACCCCCTACCTTTTCCTAAAGCCTCCTTGTTCATCTGCTATCCTATTCTCCGTCTTACTCTTAATTCTTTCAATTATAACTCTACCATACACTTTACCAGTACACTCAACAGACTTATCCCCCTATAATTTTTGCACTCTCTTTTATCCCCTTTGCCTTTATACAAAGGAACTATGCATGCTCTCTGCCAATCCCTAGGTACCTTACCCTCTTCCATACATTTATTAAATAATTGCACCCAACCACTCCAAAACTATATCCCCGACCTGCTTTTAACATTTCTATCTTTATCCCATCAATCCCGGCTGCCTTACCCCCCCTTCATTTACCTACTGCCTCACGAACTCCCCCACACTCACAACGACTCTTCCTCACCTCCTACAAGATGTTTTCCTCCTTGCCCTATACACGAAATCACAGCTTCCCTATCTTCATCAACATTTAACAATTCCTCAAAATATTCCTTCCATCTTCCAATACCTCTAACTCTCCCATTTAATAACTCTCCTCTCCTATGTTTAACTGACAAATCCATTTTTCTCTAGGCTTTCTTAACTTGTTAATCTCACTGCCAAAACTTTTTCTTATTTTCAACAAAATTTGTTGATACATCTCACCCACTCCTCATTGCTCTCTTTTTACATTGCTCACCACTCTCGTAACTTCTCTCTTTTTCTCCATATACTCTTCCCTCCTTGCATCACTTCTACTTTGTAAAAACTTCTCATATGCTAACTTTTTCCTCCCTTACTACTCTCTTACATCATCATTCCACCAATCGCTCCTCTTCCCTCCTGCACCCACTTTCCTGTAACCACAAACTTCTGCTGAACACTCTAACACTACATTTTTAAACCTACCCCATACCTCTTCGACCCCATTGCCTATGCTCTCATTAGCCCATCTATCCTCCAATAGCTGTTTATATCTTACCCTAACTGCCTCCTCTTTAGTTTATAAACCTTTACCTCTCTCTTCCCTGATGCTTCTATTCTCCTTGTATCCCATCTACCTTTTACTCTCAGTGTAGCTACAACTAGAAAGTGATCTGATATATCTGTGGCCCCTCTATAAACATGTACATCCTGAAGTCTACTCAACAGTCTTTTATCTACCAATACATAATCCAACAAACTACTGTCATTTCGCCCTACATCATATCGTGTATACTTATTTATCCTCTTTTTCTTAAAATATGTATTACCTATAACTAAACCCCTTTCTATACAAAGTTCAATCAAAGGGCTCCCATTATCGTTTACAACCTGGCACCCCCAAACTTACCTACCACACCCTCTCTAAAAGTTTCTCCTACTTTAGCATTCAAGTCCCCTACCACAATTACTCTCTCACTTGGTTCAAAGGCTCCTATACATTCACTTAACATCTCCCAAAATCTCTCTCTCTCCTCTGCATTCCTCTCTTCTCCAGGTGCATACACGCTTATTATGACCCACTTCTCGCATCCAACCTTTACTTTAATCCACATAATTCTTGAATTTACACATTCATATTCTCTTTTCCTCCTTCCATAACTGATCATTTAACATTACTGCTACCCCTTCCTTTGCTCTAACTCTCTCAGATACTCCAGATTTAATCCCATTTATTTCCCCCCACTGAAACTCTCCTACCCCCTTCAGCTTTGTTTCGCTTAGGGCCAGGACATCCAACTTCTTTTCATTCATAACATCAGCAATCATCTGTTTCTTGTCATCCGCACTACATCCACGCACATTTAAGCAACCCAGTTTTATAAAGTTTTTCTTCTTCTCTTTTTTAGTAATTGTATACAGGAGAAGGGGTTACTAGCCCATTGCTCCCGGCATTTTAGTCGCCTCATACGACACGCATGGCTTACGGAGGAAAGATTCTTTTCCACTTCCCCATGGACAATAGAAGAAATAAAAAGAACAAGAGCTATTTAGAAAAAGGAGAAAAACCTAGATGTATGTATATATATATATATGCATGTGCGTGTCTATGAAGTGTGACCAAAGTGTAAGTAGGAGTAGCAAGATATCCCTGCTCCAGAAAATATATACTCAGTAATTTTAGGTGTTCCCATAGTTTAAATGCTTTACTGGTTCTTTGTAGGCAGTAAATAATCTCTGTATCTGTTCCATCTCTGATAACTCTCCTACCCTAAATGAAGCCATGAAGTGAGTGAGCAAAAGTGACTTGTCACAATTGGCATTATCTCCTTCATTTTAAAAGCTCTTATTTTCCACCTAATTATTTTCCTGGTTTTTGTGATATTAATCTTTTGTTCTGTAAAGAATAAGTCGGTTGACATTATTTCACCCAAGTATTTCACACAATATTTTCGTTCTATTAGGTGATCCTCCTGCATTGTGTATACAATATTCCTCTTAGGTTCTCTTTTCCCTCTTGCCTATTCCCATACCTTCCTCATTCTCTTATATGTCCTCATTCCCACTCTCATTCATTTCCACTATTTTTCCCAGGATAGCTGACACAACGCACCTTACATATGCTCTTCACTTACCCACTGGTAACATTGAAACTATAGGGCATATGGTGTTGTGAAGTGGTGAGGGGCATTGTACAAGTAGGATAGGAAGGTAGGGAGGGAGGGAAGGAAGAGAAGAAGGGAGTCACCTGCCTTTCCATCCATCCTCTTTCCCATGACCACCAGCCTGAAGCCAGGACCTTTTCCTTCCCATGCTCTCTGGCAATACATCTGCCTCCCAGGGTAATCATCCATGCTCCAGTCATTTATCCCCTCAGCCACCAGCCGCATGATGGGGCCTTTTCCTCCCCAAGCTCTTTGGAAGCTCACCTTTCAGGCTCACTAAAAACACCATTCGCCTCCTCCATTGGCCAGCAGCCAGACAACAGGGCATTTTCTTCAGGCTCCAAGGGACTTCACCTTCCTCACAGGCTCACTAACTACCCCCAGTCCTTGCCCCTGTACCACCAGGGCCAGGGTCTGCCTCCCAGGCTCCTAGGCAATCTACCCACCTCAGTGGAATGCCTACCACTTCCAATGTCTTATGCCATAATATAGCCTATGATTTCATTGGGTTGTCTTGAGTCAGTATTACTATTGCCTAGCTTTCAACAACCATGAAAATATAAAGGTTGACAAATGTTTGACAATAACCATTACTTAGCTTGTAGATACAATAATATTTAACCAACCATTGTATTATCTCACAGTTCATTATAATTAAAAAAACATTCATTATATTTTTTTCAGAAACAGCTTACATATAGCCCAAGATCTGTGGAAGTTTGGAGTGAGGGAATATTACCGTGGAATGGTTTCCATCCTCCTGCGCAATGGACCAAGCAATATTCTCTTTTTTGGTCTTAGAACAGATATCAAAGAAAGGCTGCCTGATCCTGGCCAAGCCTGGTGGGGTCATATAATAACCGACTTTGTATCTGGTGCCTTCCTGGGAGCGTTCATCTCTACTGTCATGTATCCTATTAACGTCATCAAAGCTCACCAACAGTGTCAGGTGAAAAGAATTACTGCACTGATTTTGCAAATGTTTAAAATACAGTGGAACTTCTACTTGTGAGTTTAATCCATTCCATGACCTTGCTCGCAACTGGATTTGCTCGTTTGCAGAGTCAATTTTCCTCATTTAAATTAATTGAAATGCAATTAATCCGTTGCAGTGGAATTCTGTACTTCAATAATTTCGCTAATATCAACTCTCCGGCTTATTTATCTCTCTCACTTCATCTAATATGACATAATAAACACTATAAATAACATAGAAACCTGATATATACTCTAAAATGAATAAAATATGTCATGCATGTAGTGGTATGGGCTGTGTCTGCAGCGAACGAGAGTTTGGACACCGGGCAAAATACTTCATGAATAATTTCGCTAATATCATCTATACAGTTTATTTATATATCACAGTTCATCTAATATGACATAACAGACAATATAAATAACATAGAAACACGATATATACTCTAGAATGAATAAAATACATGTATGTCATTATGTAACAGGCAGAGGCGGCCACAACCGCTCCCTCTTTGTTGTGGTAAACACTGCCATCTTGTGACGGCCTTTTGAAGCCGTCTATTATTATAATTATTATATGTAGTACATTATTATTATATATGTATTATTATTATACATATATTATTATTATTATACGTATTGTTATTATTCATATTATTATACATATTATTATTATTATTATCGTTATTATTATTATTATATAAATTATTTGTAATTTTTATTCACAAAAAAAGTATAAGATTTACTGTTATTCCTTATTGCAATAATTGTATAAATATGTCAAGCCATTCACGGCTGCATATTGGAATGGACAGTGACGTCATTTGTTTACACTGAAACAGCCAAGCAATGGACCATTTCTCCTAGGTTGAGCTCAATTTCAAGGCACTTTTCATCATGAAAGCAATCAAAATCATATCTATTTCTGTAATATATCTTCCATTCTATCAAATGAGACCAAAAAAACGAGAATGCAACCATAAAAACCATACGAAAATACCACTAAGGGGTGGCTAATTACTGAGAAGTGAACTCCATTATTTATGCTTAGATTTCTTTCATTATTATTATTTTTTTTTTTTTTCAACAAATCGGCCGTCTCCCACCGAGGCAGGGTGACCCAAAACAGAAAGAAAATCCCCAAAAAGAAAATACTTTCATCATCATTCAACACTTTCACCACACTCACACATAATCACTGTTTTTGCAGAGGTGCTCAGAATACAACAGTTTAGAAGCATATACGTATAAAGATACACAACATATCCCTCCAAACTGCCAATATCCCAAACCCCTCCTTTAAAGTGCAGGCATTGTACTTCCCATTTCCAGTCTCAGTAGTAGTACACTGGTTACTGGTAACTGGTTACTCCACCATTTATCATGTGGGGTTCGAACACGTGGATTGGGTAAAAATACTCACGTAGGCTGGAAGTACGTATATTACGGATAGTGTGTGAAGCGCCCAAACAGCCGTGACCTGCCTCCTTGCTCACTCTCGTAAGACTGACTGACCCCAGTACCCATATGTGAGGGGGTGTTTGAAATACTGCTGTGGTCAGCACAATATGAATACAGACAGTGATTCACGCAGAAACGGTTGGTAGTGAGTCATCTAGTGGTACACTGGTTACTGGTAACTGATTACTAGGAACTGGTACTACTACTGAGACCAGGACTCAAGTCCGACTATATGAAAATAACCGGTTTCCCTGAATCCCTTCACTAAATATTACCCTGCTCACACTCCAACAGGTCGTCAGGTCCCAAGTACCATTCGTCTCCATTCACTCCTATCTAACACGCTCACGCACGCTTGCTGGAAGTCCAAACCCCTCGCCCACAAAATCTCCTTTACCCCCCTCTCTCCAACCCTTTCGAGGACGACCCCTACCCCGCCTTCCTTCCCCTATAGATTTATATGCTTTCCATGTCATTCTACTTTGATCCATTCTCTCTAAATGACCAAACCACCTCAACAACCCCTCTTCTGCCCTCTGACTAATACTTTTATTAACTCCACACCTTCTCCTAATTTCCACACTCTGAATTTTCTGCATAATATTTACACCACACATTGCCCTTAGACAGGACATCTCCACTGCCTCCAACTGTCTCCTCGCTGCTGCATTTATTATTATTATTATTATTATTATTATTATTATTATTATTATTATTATTATTATTATTACCATTATTATTATTATATAAATAATTTGTAATTTTTATTCACACAAAAATATAAGATTTACTGTGACATCATTTGTTTACACTGAAATAGCCAAGCAATGGACCATTTCTCCTAGGTTGTGCTCTATTTCAAGGTACTTTTCGTCGTGAAAGCAATCAAAATCATATCTATTTCTGTAATTTATCTTCCATTCTATGAAATGAGACCAAAAAAACGAGAATACAACCATAAAAACCATTCGAAATTACCACTAAGGGGTGGCTAATTACTGAGAAGTGAACTCCATTATTTATGCTTAGATTTCTTTCATTTTTGGTGTACATTAAGAAACATCTTTCCATCATACATTGCCCAAGTTTCAATAAGATAGTCCAACAAACAAATGAGATACAATTCCCGAGATCAAGAGCAAGAGCCCCTCACCAGTGTCAAGGAACCTGCTTTGAGGTCTGCTCGCTTGTGGAAATTTTGCTTGTGTATGGAAGCAAAAAATTGACCCATCGACTGCTCGTGTTTGGAAAAACTCGCACATGGACACACTCGCAAGCAGAGGTTCCACTGTATATATCTTATATTTCTTAATTGGAATAAAGTGTAATAAACACTGATCAGTACAAAGTGAAAAACAGAATGATCTGTATATTTTTTACCTCAGCTGAAGAGGGTTTCTCTACTGAGGCAAAAATACTGTATATAAATATCTCTTACCTATGTTTAATATTTCTATGTCAGTAGATGTTCACTTAGTATGTGTGAAGCTTTGTATGGCAGAAAAGAATAAGTGACTCCACAGCCAAAATCCAGGTTAGTGACTGGATCAGTTTTTTAATCTTTCATTTGTTTGTGGTAACATGTAGGTGTTGTCTTCTGCATCTGTGAGTAAAGTTCAGAGCACCATAACAAAGTATTATAACTTAAGCTTCATAGCTTTGATCTCCCCCATGCCTGCATTGTTCTCCATTGTTTGCATTTGGTGCTTATTCTTTTCTGCTGTGCATGTCTCACATCTCATTGTACCATAATTGGATTACATCACAGTCTAGCATCTTTCACTGTAATTTCTTCAGATAGTGACACTGAATAATATATATAATATCTTTATTTTCTACAAATACATGTACAAGGTATACAGTCCTATCTGACATCAATGACATACTGCTATATAGAAAGCCCCTTGGTATGCTGAGCATTTCGGGCAAATTAGGCCAGTTTTGTCCCAGAATGCGACCCACACTAGTCGACTAACTCCCAGGTACCCATTTTAAACTGATGGGTGAACAGGGACAGAGACAGTAGGTGTCTTATGGAAACATGTCCCTAATGTTTTCCAGCCATACCAGAGGAGATTCGAACCCCGGACCTCAGTGTGTGAGTTGAGTGTGCTAGTGACCAAGCTTCGGAACAAGACACGTATTTTTGGTAACATAAACACATAGCCTTTTTCAGGAAGTCGCTTGAGTGTTTTTTTTTTGGTTTATGTTAACTTTTTCTGTTTTATATTCAACAGGTGGGTGGACCATTCCAGACCATGCGTGGAACATTTTGGCACATCTATCATGCTCGAGGAAGTCGATTTAGCAGACTTTTTAGTGGTGCTCATGTAAATTATACTCGTGCCCTTGTGTCTTGGGGTATCATCAATGCTTCATATGAAATGCTACACAAATTGTTTTACAGTTAACAGTATAAGAACATTAGTGGGAAATTGTATTTTAGTACTACCATCCATGTTATTCAAAATTTTTGAGATGTCCTTTGAAGGTTTGCAATTTTTTCAGATTATGAATAAGAAACTTTTCTTGTGAGAGAATACAGTATGAATGTGTCTTTTCCACATGCTTAATGTTTCTTTGGATATGACCAGGTAGAAATGCATTTGTTTGTATATAATTGTAGTGAAAACTTAAGAGCTACAAGATATGTGAATAGATTGTAAAGTTACAAAACTACATAGAGTGTACAATTTTCAGGACGTATAAGGGGAGGAAAAATTGAATCTGTGCTTTTCCTCGATGTATTAGAAGCATTATTTTAAATATTACTTGAAAAAGGTATAAAAATAATGCTTCTCATCTGTTCAGCATTTTAAATATGTTAATTTTGGGTTATTTGACGCAAGTTAATAATACCTGGTACTAACCATGATGAGATTATACAACGTGAAAGTGAGAACCTTAATAATCTTAATTGTCTGACTGCCTTTTAGAATGGATAATCCATAATTAAATCATAATGCTAAACTTGCATCATCAAAAGAATTCTATATGAATTTTCATTTAAATAATTACATTTTTTAGTATCATATTGAAAATTTTATTGCAATGTACAGTATCAGTTTTTTAGTAATACTATAATTAAAATATTTCCAGTACTGTATTGCACTTCAACATTGTATGATCCATTATACATCATGATAGCTACATCTGTACCCCATCAGTGTATTGTATTAACATTTTAATTAAAAGACTTTCAAAAATTAGATGTAAAAAATACATGAAAGTTATCTGTTTATAGTTTTACAGTGTATTATAAATTAAATGTTAAGTTAGATAAAAGTAACTAACAAAATTAAAATTTTCACTATTCAGCTGTTGCAACTATGTTGCAGTAATAAATTAAGGTAAAATGAAAGATGCTTTTAACTGGGTGAATATTTTAACATATTTTGTACATATTGGAGAAGAATGTGCCAGATATGAGGTATGCTACTCAAATAATGCTACTCAAAAATTATTATTTATTAGCTAATAAGTGCCTGAGCACGTTGAGTACTAACTGCAAATTCAACCTGAGAAGTATCGCTACTCTATAAATTAATTGAAATTTATTACTAATTAGAGTCAGCCTTGGGAAATTTTGGGTTTGAACTAACAGCCCAAATTTCAGGTAACACTGAGAGTAATCAGCATTTAATTTCTAGTAAATTAATCCTGTGAAATGTTGAGTTTTACTGTTAACATCTGAGAGTCAGACCTCAGAATGTTGAGTTTCAGAGTTAACATCTGAGAGTCAGACCTCTGAATGTTGAGTTTCAGGGTTAACATCTGAGAGTCAGACCTCAGAATGTTGAGTTTCAGGGTTAACATCTGAGAATCAGACCTCTGAATGTTGAGTTTCAGGGTTAACATCTGAGAGTCAGACCTCTGAATGTTGAGTTTCAGGGTTAACATCTGAGAGTCAGACTTCTGAATGTTGCATTGTCAGTATAATATTTCTCAGCGTTGTAGTTTCAAGACTTACAACAACAACAAAAATATAATGTTATGGACAAAGTGTGGAGCAGAATTATTTTGATGGCATTTAGAAGTTAAATTTTGGAGATATGCATTGGTGATAATGAAATATATTCACAGCTGTACATACAGATAGATATTTCTATAGGTTTGCACGTAAATTAATATTTTATTATGTGGTGCAGAGTTTAGTACCACTGATAGTATTACTGTTAAAAGAAGAGTGAAGGATATGATAAATCATTATGTTGTACAGTAATACCCCGGTTTTCGTCCTCAATCTGTTTCAGAAGGTCGGCCGAAATCTGAAATGGACAAAAACTGAAGTAACATTTCCCATAAGAAATAATGTAAATCCAATTAATCCGTTCCAGACACCCAAAAGTATTAACAAAAAATACATTTTATAGAGAATAACTATAGCTTTACATACAGAAAACAATGAGAAATAAGTATAAAGGACTAATGAAATGGATAAATGAACATTTAACATCACTTTTACCTTAATTGAAGACTCTTGTTGGCATATGGAAGAAGGTGAGGAAGGGAGAGGGAGTTGAGGTTATTGTTTGGAATGGAAATCTCCCTCCATAAGGACTTCAGGTATCAAAGCCCTATCTGAGATTACTTTCCTTCTTTGTCTTTTACTGTACTAGGACCAGCTTGAGAGTCACTGCACCCCTTCTCATACATCCTGGTGAGTTCGGCCACACGTACGCCATTTTCACATTTTGCTACAAGTTCTTTCTTGAATTCTATCGTGTTTCTCACCTTCTTTACCAAAGGGCTGGCACTCGGAACTTTCTTTGGCCCCATAGTGGCTTATTTCACAGTCGCAATCAATAAACAAGCAAAAAAAATGGATGAACGCACAGAGGGTTGCTAACTCGACCAGAGACAGAGGCAGGCTGAGTCTGGTATGCATGAGAAGTGGCATCCTGGGCAGGTGGATGGGTCTGATACGGACGATTTCCAAGCAGATGTATGAAACCTGGGGGAAAATTTTGCTGAAAAAAGTGCTCGAAATCCAAACTGTATGATTTCTGCACCGGACGAAAACCGGGGGTCCACTGTAGTCTCAAGAAAATTATTTAACTAGGGAAAAGACTACATATATATGTATATTTATCCCATTCTGTAGTGGCTGTAACTGATTTTTTTCCCCCAAGAGTGGGATTAAAAAAAAAAGATAAAAGCATACTGAATATTAGTGTAAGCAGCACACTACCTCAGAGCCTGTGTCTGCCACAACCAGTGTCAGTTTGATCAGTAGTCTTCTTCTTCAGGAAGAGATGACAGTATTTGTGGTTTGATTTTAAAATTTTGTATAGGACTGGAAAAGGCATATGACAGGGTGGATAGGGGGGCAGTATGGCAGATGTTGTAAATGTATGGAATAGGAGGTAGGTTATTGAAAGAAGTGAAAAGTTTTTATGAGGATAGTGAGGCTCAGGTTAGAGTATGTAGGAGAGGGAGGTTGGTGGATGAGTTTGGTATGGTATGTGAAAGAGGAAATTGAAAGTGAATATAGCAAAGAGTAAGGTGATGAGGATAAAAAAAATAGGTAATGAAAGATTGAATATCAGGTTGGAGGGAGAGAGTATGGAAGAGGGGAATGTATTCAGATATTTAGGAGTGGACGTGTCAGCAGATGTGTCTATGAAAGATGAGGTGACTCATAGAATTGATGAGGGGAAAAATGAGTGGTGCACTGAGGAGTCTGTGGAGACAAAGAACTTTATCCATGAAAGCAAAGAGGGGAATGTATGAGAGTTTAATTATACCAAAGTTTTTATATGGGTGTGAAGCATGGGTGGTGAATGTTGCAACAGGAAGAAGGCTGGAGACAGTGGAGATGTCATGTCTGAGGGCAATGTGTGGTGTGAATATAATGCAGAGAATTCCTAACTTGAAAATTAGGAGGAGGTGTAGGATTACCAAAACTATTATCCAGAGGGCTGAGGATGGGTTATTGAGGTGGTTCGGACATGTAGAGAGACTGGAACAAAATAGAATGACAATGAGAGTGTACAAATCTGTAGTGGAGGGAAGGCAGGGTAGAGGTCAGCCTAGGAAAGGTTGGAGGGAGGGGGTAAAAGAGGTTTTGTGTGCAAGGGGCTTGGACTTCAAGCAAGCATGCATGAGCATGTTAGAGAGGACCGAATGGAGACAAATGGTTTTTAGGACTTGACGTGCTGTTGGAGTGTGAGCAGGGTAATATTTATGAAGGGATTCAGGGAAACTGGCAGGCCAGACTTGAGTCCTGGAGATGGGAAGTACAGTGCCTGCACTCTGAAGGAGGGGTGTTAACATTGCAGTTTTATAACTGTAGTGTAAGCACACCTCTGGCAAGACAGCGATGGAGTGAATAATGGTGAATTTTTTTCTTTTTCGGGGCACCGTACCTTGGCAGGAAATGGCCAATGTGTTAATAATAAAAAAAATATAGGATTGGTGAAGGGTTCTTTCACATGGGTTCCTGTGATGAGTTTAGTACTTCTTCAATGAGTATCCATAATTATTTGCACTCTTAAAATAATCATTAGGCACAGGAGACTTCTCATTTTCATCTTCCATTTCCTTGCCCTTTTCCAGGGTATCCTGTGCTTACCATTCAAATCTGTTTTGGATATAGGCAGCCTGATTCTCTCTATATAGTACCTCATGATGTGGCTCATACAGGTGAAACATTTCAAGGGTTTAGTAGGGCAAACGCTTAGCTCGTGTTTCCCCGGCAATTTGAGCACACTGATTTGACCGCTTTCTCTTTGTTGTATATACGTGTTGCTTACTGCCGGGTTAGTGCATACACCACTGGCTGCAAATTATTTCTGTGTCAAACATGGTGATGCCCAGGACAGTAGGTCTAATGCTGTTGGCATTAGTTTTTGCAGCCTCACAATTAAAGAACCACTTTACTGAGACTTTCCAGTGTCTTGTTTCTTATAATCTATAAATGGTCTGTTTCAGATTAAGGTTGCATATGTGCACCATAATTTTATGCACCACTATATATTCAGAAATATCATTATCACAGGAGGGACACTTACATTTACAATCTAACATGCTTGTTGGTACCTGGTTACAGATGTTATCATCACTTCACTGCACTGTTGTGTGAACTGGAAGAATTTGCCTCACATGATCCATCTGATGGTGTCTACTGCTTCCCCACTTTAGACCCTGACATTTTACCATATTTTGGCAGATGGAGGGGTGGAAATATGTTGCAGTTTTTGAACTGTAGTATCAGCATACCTCTGGCAAGAGAGTGATGGAGTGAGTGAGGATGAAAGTGTTTCTCCCTTTTCGGGTCACCCCTCCTCGGCAGGAAACAGCCGATGTGTTGGTAATAAAAAAATAAAAAATTGGCAGATACTAAAAGTTTACTTTTCACTTAGTGTGCAGGCAAAGTATCTTAATATATAACTAGCCAGGGTGTATTGAGATAAGGCAAGGTTACATGGTATTCATGAGGAAGGCTTTACTTCACCAGCAATGGTGGACCCAAACTTGTACAAGACTAATTGTCACACAAGTACATTAGAGTTCTATTTTTCACAGATAACTGTATTCCTAATCACTTTTTACTGAATTTTTATAGTTCATCAATTTCATCACTTCATACATATATATATAATAAAGATTTGGCATAAGCAGATACCTTCACAAGTATCTTTAATTATTTGTTATAGAAGAGAAACAAAAATTATTCATGTGATATACAATGTCTATGAATTGAACTATTAATTTAGATTAGAGTATTAGAATAGTGTTTTTCACTTCTTGAAGGATAAAATAACACCTGTACCCAAAAGTTGAAAATTGATTCAATGACATTTGTTAATTAGTAGAAAAAGAAACAATATTTTTTTTAATTAACAAAAAATGTTGAGTATATGTCTATTTCTATTTATGAACAGTAACAGTAAAACTAAATTAATGTTAATTATTGAAATGCAGATTCTTTGCTCGTTTAACAAGATGTATTTACTGTTTTTTTTTTAGTAGTATTTTATAATGTATGCGGTGTATCCCAGCTCAGATATATACTGTGCGCTTAGATCAGGAATCCAGCAAAGTTTACGATGCTCACTACATAGGAATAGTTTCTGACAGACTTACAAACTTTGTACTAACACGTTTTTATCCAATACATACTGTACATACTTGGATGCAGTGCTTCTGCTTACTCTCTGAAGTGACACAATGCACAGCATAGTTGATTATAATTAAGGATGTTTGAGAATGATAGCATTCTTGGATATACTGTATATATATATGCCTTATAATGTAGGTAGTTTAGTGCACAAGTTGATACTGCTTGACAACACAGTGGCACTCTACAGAAATATCTGTTGTTAAACAAAATATTGTGTTCTCAAATGCATTTTCCCATCGTATACTGTAATTGACCATGTACTCCCGGAAAACAAAATCTGTTTACTTTGCCAGTTCTCATCAAATGTTTATGGAAACACTGCACATTCA